GATGGATGATGGATGATGGATGATGGATGATGGATGATAGATAGATTCTATGGCTCCATACTGAGTTTCCAAAAAGATGGTTCAGATTAAATTCATTCATTTTATGTTCCTAATCTTCAACTCTGTTCATTTCCCATTCAAGTACATTTTTCTGATACATTAATTTAGAGAAGAAAAGAAAGGAAGGGAGATTGTGGGCCAGCCATTTCCTCTATTCTTGTCTGTCCCAGAGGAGCCGAAGACACAAACAAACAACAACGGCCCTGTGGAGATTCTTTTTTTTTTAAAGATCTACCATTCCACAGATGCTGGTGCAAAAAAGGCAGTAAAATTAGTGTTTCAAGCGACTGCACTTAGCAATTTAAAATATTTGCCGTGACGGAAGAAGTCCTCCACTCGTCTCACAGCCGTAGCCATAAACTGTTGCAATTCAATCATGCACACCGACATTCACAGACAGAGACATGTGAGGAGCATAAAATAGGAAGACGGACCAAAGCAAAGATTGTAAGTGACAATGGTAATTCCTTCCATTTCAGGACTGTATCCACCAAAAAAACTGTACACTCGCTCCAGCAAACCGAGCCTTTGTCTTCTCGTCTTAGTTACTACATACTAAATACTAAAATTTTTGGTAAATCTTAACATTATTTTTCTAATTTTCAGCTAGTGATGTTCCTTGTTTTTTCATACTTTCTGAAACTAAGTAAATAACATCAGAAATTTTTTATTCCAGTTTGTATATTGAGCTGATAGGAAAAGTATGAATTATATAGAGAGATTTTTCATTTTTTATTGGCTAAGGCAATGACCTCCATAATCCGAGTTCTGGGCCTTGAATTTTTTCCATTTGTTCTCCTAAATACAACATATTTCTTCTCTCCATCATGTCTGCCATGTTTAATTTAAGAGAGTCATCTTTGTAGTACAGGAAAGCCTGGCTTTAGGCTAAACTTACCTCTAACCCACTAAACTCCCTTTTGCATTAAACCCCTCTGAATCTTTGTTTTTAAACTATGGGACAATTCGCTCACTATTATCATTCATTATTATACATTATTCTTCTCTGTCACTGTGTTTGTCTGCAGGCAGCCCTGGTTTTATAACTGGGGTTTCAACCTACCACGTGGTCAGGCCCTGCTGGACAAGTGGAACCAGATTCCGGATAGCACAGACATCCTCATCACGCATGGCCCCCCACTTGGTATGACACGCCTAACAACGCATCTTGGATTGCCCTATATATGTATATATATATATATATGGTTTTCAAACTTAATTTCTGTTTCTAGAGGCCGTTCGAAAACTGAAACAATTTTCCCCATAGGAATCAATGTAAAATTGATTAAATCCATTCCTGGATAATTACTGATTCAAACTTTTTCAACAGTATTTTGTGTACAGGTTCATACACAAAACCAACAAAAACAATTAGTTCTAACAAAAAAGATAAACACACCTGAATAAAGAATAAAGCTATAAATAAAAAAGGAAATTTCATTCATCCTTACCGGAGCTCAGCAGTCGTGATTGCATAATGTTCGCTTCACTTTCTCACAAATTGTCTCTGAAATCCTGTCACCAGCCAACTGCTTTTCGTTGATCTAAATCAGTAGCAACTTTTCCACTTCTGTTTGAGACTTTTGCTTGGTGATCACAGTCACTCCTTTGGTAATCTGAGCTTCTTTTATTGCTTCCTTGTTCTTGATGATGGTATAAATGATGGTAGCTTTGTTAGGTCCCCAGTGGGACTAATGACCAGGTGATCACAGGACACAGGTGATGGTAGCTTTGTTAGTGGGACTAATGATCAGGTGATCACAGGACACAGGTGAGTGTGATGACACTGATCGCACAGCAGACACAAGCAGGGGGGAGGGAGGGAGACAGACAGACCTCACACACTTCAGAACCATTGGAATCATTTTCAAAGTGATTGAATAAACTCATTGCTAATTTTGGTTGTTGGCAGCTTGAAAGCTAAAATGCAAAGTTAAACAAAATTGTAGTGAAGCAACAAAGGTGGTTATTTGATACTGAGTATTTAAAAGGTATTCCTCTCTTTCCAGGATTCTTGGACTGGGTTCCGAGGACAATGCAACGTGTTGGCTGCATGGAGCTCCTCAACACAGTCCAGCGGAGAGTCCAGCCAAAAGTACATGTGTTTGGCCACATTCATGAAGGTTTGTGGACATTTCTGTAAAGGATAGCAGCATGTAAAAAAATGATACGATAAATGACGCGATAAATGATAAGAGAATGACACATGAGTCCCTTCACACAGGTAGGGGATATAAAGCTAAATATGTTTGGTTTACAGAATTATGTGTTTTTATACCTTATCTTGAGTAAAGAAGGGAATTAATGGAAATAAAACAATTCCGATTCTATTATCGAACTTGATTATCAATCAATACCTTATTGATTCTCTAGTTTTGTACTTGCGCCTAGGTTTCTTTGCAATAACCCTTTAAGGTGAAGTTTTTATTAACATTTGGCATTTAAATTTGACTAATTAACGACAATCATCAACTTTTGCCACAAATTGTGTGTGTTAAAGGAACCCGAGAGTTGCCTAAATTAGGCTGTGTCTGTGTCGGGGAAACTACGAAGATCAAACAGCTGTTAAACTTGACTTACCCAGTGCAGATAAAGTGTTGTTTTGGATAGTGTGCTGTATTCATGATCTTGCATTAACTCCATGAGTGGTGTAATTACCGTATTTTACGGACTATAAGTTACACATTTTCATCCTTTGGCTGGGTTTGCGACTTATATATTAAAATATATAATTTCACATTTGTTATTTTCACACTGACAGCCACTAGAGGGCACTCTAGGCTTGTGTACCAGTATCTGCTACTCCTGTACCACTGAAAATGTATGACTTATAGTCCGGAAAATATGGTACACATCACAAGGCCTTGGCTTCTTTTTTATTTTACTGTGACTAGACTTTATTTTACCAAGTATTATGAATTGTAAAGTGACCTAGAGAGTTCCTATAAGTACAATTCACTAGCATTATTGCTTTTGGATATTGGGTTTGATCAAGTATATTTTATTCATACTAGTTCAGACAAAAAATCTCCATCCATTTGACACTGCCCGCTGATCCAAATTCAAACCTCATTATGGCCCATGAGTCAAAACGTTCGCTCACTCCTGTCCTAAACCATGTTTAACCAAACAACAGTTAAAAGCTGCCTTTCTGTGTGTGTCTACTCTACTTCCAGGCTATGGCATGATGACAGATGGAACCACGACATTCATCAATGCCTCCACTTGCACTGCCAATTTTCTGCCCGTTAATGCACCTATCGTTATTGACCTGCCAAACCCCAGGAATCCATAAGTAGAAGAAGCTGATAGGCAAGCTCCCACTACTGGTTTGGGAAAGGAAGTGCAGAAAAGTAGGTAAGGGCGAGGGGTTGGACTGGAATTTCTGTCTTTAATGGCATACAATTGATAGGACCCCTGTGTCCACTGGTGAAGGGAGCTCGGTGAGGTGCAGTCCTGCTCACAAAAAAAAAATTCTCCAGCAGCATTTGCATCTGAAAGCAGACGGGGGAGTGACGTTTCCGTGTTCACTTGCTGCACTGACAATCATGTAGCGTTTAGAAAGAGAAAACAAAGAAAAACCTGAC